ACTTGCACGGTTCCCTGTCCTCGGCCGCCAGAGCAGCCGTGCGGTACGGAAGCGGGAATGATATTTCCCTCCTCTGCCGGCTCCCGCTTCGCTGGTGAAACCCTTCTTCCCACCTCTGAGCTTGCGAGGGAGAAGGGTTGCCAGCCCTCTCCCAATTCCCGGGGCCGATCCCGTGCCGGTGGGACGGCCGCCGTCCTCCGCTCGCCGGCAGCCGGGGTGGAGGTGCACGGCCGGAGCCGCGCGCACGGTAACACATCAACCGGGGCGGTCTGAGAGATGGCTTTTTGTGCCCTCGGCAGGCTGCTCCTCTTCCCGGCGCCGCTCCAATCCCGCCCTGTCCTGCCGCCGGCGCAGGGCTGGCGCGGACTCGGTCGGTTCGTAATCTTAAGAGGCGGAACTGCCCGTGTCCCAAGCGACGTGGGTGAGAAAAGGCCGGGGACGGTTTATTCCTCCTTCGAAAAGGCCGAGGAAAATGAGCGTTCGATGACGCCGGGCTCCCCTCGCGCCCCTCCCGCCTCGTTCGGAGCGGGGCCGTGTCGAAACCCCGCTGGCGGCGTTGCACAAGCGAGCGCAGTAAACGCTCCCTCTTTTCCGCCCCTTCGAGCGGGTTGGAGAGATGAGTTTCGCCCCCCGGACGGGGGGTTACGCGCAGCAGAGGTAGCCGAGGATTTCGATTTTGCTGCCGCAGCCCTTGCGGAGCGCGGCTGGGCTAGCTCCTTATCCGTAGATCTCGCAGGGAAATCACCTGTAAGCCGGCACGGCGCGGTCGGACAGGTCTGCACCGCTCCGGGCAGCTTTTCCTCCTCCGGCTCAGGGAAATAACCTTTGCAAAGGCTCGTCTTCGAGCCTGTCAGCGTTTGGGATTCACCCGAACGGTAAAAACCCACGTGTTTTGTTTGCGTTGCGATTCAGAAGGTACTTTGTGTAGGCAAATGCCCGTTTGCTCCCAGCGCGCCCCAAAACAAGACAGGCAGGTACTTGCAAAACCCCAGTTTGCGGCTGCCTGTGTCGATCGGGGATTTCGAAGGCGGGTGTTGCAACCGATGCCCGAGAACGTGACCTAAATCTTGGGGTCGGAGCGCCGAGCCGGAGGGAAACCGGCCCACCCTGCGAGCATCTCGCTTGCTGACGGGTAAAGGGCCTTCTCCTCGAGGAGCCAGCGTTTCCCTCGGCGGCGGCGGCGCGCGAGCGGTAAAGCGTTAGTTAACGCAGACAAAATCTGGGTGTTGTATACAGGGAGGGAGGGATCTCCCGCGCCGGGGGCGGCCGAGGAGCCTGGTGCTGCTCGGGGGCCGGCGTTCCCTCGGGGACCCGGTTCGGCTTCGACCGGAGCCGCCTGCGCCAAGGCGACGGATCCGAAACCGGCCTGTTCTTCCTCAAAACAGGGAAAGGAAGCGCTCCCAAGGGACGCGCTGGGTTTACAGCTGCGCGGCGGCGGCCCCGGACGGCTTCAGCTTGTCGGTGGAGCAGGGCGGTGACCGAACAGCACCCCTGCAAGTCATAGAATCATAGAACCATAGAATCACTGAGGTTGGAAAAGACCTCTAAGATCATCGAGTCCAACCGTCGACCCAACGCC